AGCAGCATAGCGATGCCCTAAGCAACTCAGCAAGACCCAGTCTCAAAAGGTCTGAGGATGTGGCTCAATGGTGAAGTGCCCCTGGGTTAAATCCCTAGTACCAAAAAAGGAAAAAAGAAGAGGGCTGGAGATACAGTGTAGTGGTAGAGTGTTTACCTAGCATATGTGGGGCCCTGGGTTCTAACCCCAGTATTAAAAAAAAGAAGTAGAAAAGATAGGTAGGGAGAAAAAAGAAGGCAAATTACCAATATCAGAAGTAAAGAGGAAGGGCTGAGTTCAGTCCCCAGCACCACACACACACACACACACACATATCATCATTCCGACTGGTCCCACAGACATTAAAAGGACAATAATGGAATATTGTGCCCACAACAAAGACAACTCAGAGGAAATAAATTAATTCCCTGAAAGATATAATCTGCCAAAATTCATACAAGAATAAACAGATAATCTGAATAGGCCTATATCAAAGAAATTCATTCAATAAATAATAAACCTTAGAAAATAAGCACCAGGCCCAAATGGGTTCGCTACTAAATTCTAAATATTTAGGGAAGAAATTATACCTTCTCTATGGGCCTTTCCAGAAATATAAGCAGATGAAACACTAACTCATTCTATGAGGCCAACATTACTCTAATATCAAAACCAAGGACATTGCAAATAAGGAAAATTAGCCGAGTGTGGTGGCGCACATCTGTAATCCCAACAGCTAGGGAGGCTGAGACAGGAAAATTACAAGTTCAAAGCCAGCCTCAGCAAAAAGGCACTAAGCAACTCAGTGAGACCCTGTCTCTAAATAAAATACAAAATAGGGCTGGGAATGTGGCTCAGTGGTCAAGTGCCCCTGAGTTTATACCCAGTACACACTAATATATCTCATGAACATAGATGCAAACAATTTCAACAACATACTAGCAAATCAAAATCTGAGAATGTATAAGAAAGATTTACACACCATCACCAGGCAGTATTTCAGGTATGCAAGGCTAACTCAACATTAGAAAAGCAATTAATCTATTGTATCATCAGGGTAAAAAAGAAAAATCAGATGATCATATCAATAGTTACAGAAAAAAAACATTTGGCAGAATCAACATTCATGTGTGATTAAAATTCTCAACAAACCAGGAACAAAAGGTTACTTCCTCAACTTGATAAAGAACACAGAAAAAATATCTGTAGCTAACATCAAACTTAATAGTGAGAAACTAAGTGTTTTCTCCCTAAGAAATAAGGTAAATATGTCTCTTCATACCGTTCCTGTTCAACATCATATTGGAAGTTCGAACATAATAAGAAAATGACATGAAAGTTATATAGATTGGGAAGAAAGAAACTATCTTTGTTCACAGATGATAATGACAATGGAGAATCCAAAGTAATAATAATTATCAAAAAAACAATAACCAATTATGACAAGATTATAGATTAAATATTAATATATGAAAAGTGTTATTACTTTCATATATAACAAATGAACAAGTAGAATTTAAAATTAAAAGCACAATACCAATAAATCTGACAAAACATGTACAAGATTTATCATATGAGAACTATAAACCTCAAATGGAAGAAATCAAAGGAGATCTAAATTATAATCCATATTCATTGAAGGAACATGAATATTGTTGAGATATTAGTTATTTCCAAGTTATCTTTAAGTTTCATGAAATCCTAGTCAAAATCACAGGAATTATTTTATGGATATTTACAAACTGATTTGAAGTTTATATGGAAAGCCACAAAGCCCAAATAACCAAGATAATACTGAAGGAAAACAGAATTGGAAAATTGACACTACTTGACTTCAAAATGTACTATAAAAACTGTATTAAGCAAGTATTGGTAAAAAAATAAATAAATGAGTCAATGGAACAGAATTGAGAGCCCAGAAATAGACTCATACAAATATAGACATCCCAAAAGCCAGAAGCTTGAGTATACTCTGATTATACAGTGAAGTCCATTTCAAGTTCAGTTTACATTAGAAATTGCTAATACTATCCATTCAGGAACCATAATCATCTCCCTCATGAGTCAAGGCTTCTCAAACTAGTTAAACATTTTTCATAGTTTTTTATGAAGAAAAAAAAAGAGAAAGAATTAAAATTTAGGAATATAATAAAATTCTTGTTAGCAGAATTGTTTTATTATCAAAAACATAAGCCATCTGTCACTTGTGTAAAATCAAGGATATAGTATAGTTTCTTATGAAGAAAGAAACAATTTACAACATAATAGTTAAATTAAAACTACTTTTAAGTCCATGTGTTTTTTAAATGTAAGTTATAGTTTATAGTAATAAGCTATGCTTATTACTTTAAAAGGGAGGCTCACACTCAGAATTACACGTTTTTCTTTGAAAGAGGCTTCATGTGAGGTTATATATAATATTGCCTTTTAGCACTTCACAAGTGCCTGGCTCAGGCAGTGACCATAGGAAAAAAGAGAAGACAAATTATCAATATTGAATTGAAGAACAATTGTCACTTCTACTCTCACAGACATTAAAAGGATAATAACATTAAAAGGATAATAACATTAAAAGGATAACACTGCTGAGCTTAGAAAGAAAACAACTTAGAGGAAATAGGTACATTCCTTCAAAGATGCAATCTCTGTGGTTTGTGTTTCAACACTGAAATATTTTCTGCTTCCCTATCTTTTAATGACCAATTATGAGCATAAATTGATTAAAAATATATTAAACTATATTAAAGCTCAAAAGCTCCATAGCAGCATTTATCTGAGTGAAACACCAGCTCAAGAAATAATAAGACCATTGGCATGCTGTTGCATCCTCCAGCACCTCTCAAGTACACACGCAGGATCTACTCCAAGGGTTTCTTCAGGTTCCATCTTAATGGGAAGAATACACAATATGCCAAAAGAAAAAGAAAGAAAGAAAGATGCCTTACTGCCTTAAGACGCTCTCTCTGATGGCACTGAAAATTCAGGGGGCCTGTGTCTGTGAAACACAGACCCTTCTAGATTCTGGCTATAGCTCACAGAGTGAAGTCCATTCACTGCCAACAACTGTGTCTTCACACACCCCCTCACAGTAGTCTCCAGCCAGGATAGTGATGACACACACAAAAGCTTGTGACTCCTCCTGGTTGCCTTAGAAATCAACTCAAGGCATTCTTGAGGGTCAACAGTAAGCAGCTGAGAGTCTGAAGAGGGCTGGAAACTTTAGAGGCTAGAAACCAGTACTTGCAGAACAGAAAGTGAGAGATTAGAGCACTGGGGAGCAGTTCAGGGGAGCAGGGGCTGAGCGAGGGAAGAGCAAAGATGCTATATGTGAAGCTGGCGGTTGATAGGGAGATGGCCAAAGCCAAAGACTTCAGAGAAAATCATCACAAGGATGTAAGAACAGTGCAAGCGACCAATGGGGCTTTGAAGAGAGGTCACAGTGGGGGACTATCAAAGGAGCAAAGAGCAGTGCAGGCCCCACTCTCCCAGCCTCCGGTGATGACAGACTCGGAGTGGTTTGGTCTAAGTGCAGAAGATCAGTAGGTATCATTTTCCTTCCATTTTGGGTACAGGCAAGAAAATGTTCTTCCTGGAAACAATGTAGCACAAGGACAAATAGTGTAGAACAAGGACACAAGGAGTCATGCAGGACACATCAAAGGACAAACAGTGTAGCACAAGGACATAAGGATGCAGGACACATCACACTTCTGAAATTAATACTGGGCCCATTAAGAAGTCACTAACCCTCTCATGGCCTCCATGAAATAGGGGATGATGATTACCTACTTAATAGGTTGTTTAGTAGATTAAATAAAATGATCCACCTGAGTTGTAGTACAGTGCCCTGTATATAGTAAACTCAAGAAATGTTGCTATGGAAACAACATAAATTCTTAGAAAAGAGAATCTGAAATCAGACATCTGTGTCTATCTTTTTAAGAAATTAGCTTTATTTAATAAATACGCTGTTAGTTTCTTCCAGTTCTGTTATAAAATCCTTTTCTTCTATTGCTAAGATAAGCTAAATAAACAACATTTATAATCTAGGTTGCTAAATATAGAACTTATTTGCTTACTAAACAGGTTGAGAGATCTCTAGGATACCTAAATGTGACTGTACTGGTCTTAAAGGGCAAATTTCTCTGCTATGTTTTTCTGAAAAAAAAATTTTTTTAAGCAAAAAACCTTGTTATATATTGGGGGTGGGCCACTGGTTATTGAACCCAGGGATTGCCCTTTTTATTTTTTGAGAAGGGCCTCACTAAGTTGCTGAGGCTTGCCTTGAACTTGTGATCCTTCTGCCTCAGCCTCCCAAGTTGCTGGTATTATAGGCATGCACCACTGCACCTATTATATCTACTTAAAAGGTAAACTTTGACCATAATCATGAAACATGTTCTAGTAGATAACTATTAGAAATTGTTTCTGATAACATTACACATAAATTTATTTAAATTTAAAATGAAAACTTTTCTCATCAAAGCTAAGTTTTTTGTTCTACTCATGATATACAAAAACTGTTTTGTGGTATTTGAAATAGCAACTTGGTCTTCCCTCTCAAGGGTTAAATAAAGGTGCTTCAGACAGTTGCAATCTCAGACTCAATATGACTCTGTTTATACTTTTATCACAGTGTATTCCTTCCTTGCTTCAGGGAAAGAAGTTAAACATACATCTGCATGCAGTAGTACTCACCTGTAATCCTAGCAACTCAGGAGGCTAAAGCTAGAGGATTCCAAGTTCCAGATCAGCTTCAGCATATTAGCAAGGCCCTGTTTCAAAATTCAAACAAATAATAAAGAGGGCTGGGAATGTAGCTCAGTGGTAAAAGTGCCCCTGGGTTCAGTCCCCACTACCTCAAAGGAAAAAAAAAAGAGTCCTACCCTTTAGGACAGAGAAATGCCTTCTATTACATATGGAAAGTAGTAGGTTTAAATCATTCCCTAATGCTATTCATTCCAGAGCATATTCCCCATACCTTCCCACAAATCCTGTATAATTTCTTTTTGATCTTCTAGATTGGCCTGGGCTAAAAATATTCAAGATCCTCAGATTGCAGTGGGTTCCCATTCCCCACTAGAAAAGAGGATTAAGGTGAGGAAACACATTTTCCTTGAACTTTGGATTCAATAATAGGATAACACTTTTAGCCTAGAGGCAAAAAGAAAAGGAAAAAAGGCCTATTTCAAGGCAAAGTGCGTTGCCTGCTTAGTTTGGCATTTGATTCTTTGAGTTCTAGTGGGGCAATGAACAAAATAAATGCTGCTCATGCCTTCATGGCACTTAGTCTAGTGAGGAACATTAACATTAAGCAATCAGTAATCACAGATTGTGATTGTCACAAAAGGATTGGGTCTTCTCTGGTGAGCATACAGAAGGTCTGAGGAGTTGACACATAAACCAAAATCTAAAAACTGTAGATGCAAGTACTCTGGTTAGAGTTGCTCATATATATGTTTAGGATGAGATGAAGAAAGTGAAAATACTCACAGGGAACAGAATCCAGTGTGGCTGGAGTAGAGTGAACAAGTAGTGAGCTGAGAAAGTTGTCTGGAGACGAGGGCCTCAGGCACCAGGTCATAGATACCATACTAGAATCTGGGATCTTCTCCGAAAACCAACAGAGCCCTACCCCAGGGTTTTATGCCAGAGTGACAGAATTATGTAACAAAAAGATCACTCTGGCTGCATTAATCAGTCTGGTGGGCATGGGGACAGAGGAAATAAGTGTAGATTTGGAAAAAAAAACTGGGGATATACTCGAGGGTGAAGTCGTCAGGGTTGAAACGAAACATGGATGAGAGGGGTATTTTCAAATTAAAGATGATTAAGAAGGTGAAAACTGAGGGAAGAAGCAAGTGGAGATGTCTGTCCAATACACAGTGACTAGGTAGGTCTGAAGTTGAGAGCCGATGCAGGTCAGTGCCTTGCCTGTGTGGCTTGCCCCTCATTCACCCTTATTCTCACTCCTGACACATGGTATGTCACCTTGTTGAATGAAACATCCCTATCCAAGGAAGCCTAAGTGTGACCATGCTGTATCTCAAGTTACAGTTTCCTCTGCTATATTTAACAGACCAGCAAGGCAGATGGAGGAGGAATGGGCTATAAGGTGGGAAGACAATCAGGATATTCAGTCACTTGGGGATACTCAGCAAATGGCTAGGATGGTCGAGGATTTCAGGATAACCTTCCTTAGTCACATGTCCTTGGCAGCTTGAAAGGCAGAAGAAAGTGAAAAGTCTCACAGTTAAACACTGCTGAGAGGTCAATTATGATAGGAACAGAAATGAGCCCACTAAATTTTCTATTTGGAGACCAATCGTGACCTCAACAAGAACAGTATGAGAAGCACTAGGAGATGGAAACTCAGTGGAAATAATCTGAGGAGAAAACATGAGGTCAGCAATTGGAGAGGGATTATAGGTGACTTGTCCATGGCATACTATGGAAAAGTGAACAAAAGGGGGGATAAAAACCAGAGAGGGCAGGGCGCAGTGGTTCATGCCTATAATCTGAGCGGCTCCGGAGGCTGAGACAGGAGAATCACTCAAAGCCAGCCTCACTCAGCAAGGGCAAGGTGCTAACCAATTCAGTGAGACCTTGTCTCTAAATAAAATACAAAAATAGGGCTGGGGATGGGGCTCAGTGGTCCAGTGCCCCTGAGTTGAATCCCTGGTACCAAAAAAAAAAAAAAGGGAAATACAGTAAAGGAAGGCTTCCATTTTTGTTTAAAGATGATATACTGAAGCATATTTTTATCCAGTAAAAAGGAGATTTTAATGATATAGGAAAGGAAAATTGTAATTCTTAAAGTTCAAAAAGCACAGGTAGAAGAATGGTCTTTTGATAGGCAAGGGGCAATGTTTCCACTGTGGAGGCAGGAAGGCAGTCTAGGGCGGCCATGATTTGGCAGTGGGAAGAGGAGGATGCTCTTGGGTGACTGCTTCCATTCTCTCAAGGAAATCTAAGGCAGAGTCCTCAACAAGGGAATACTGCAGGAAGGGAGGGGAGTATAGGAGGTTTGATGATGAAAACATAAACCACGCATGGTTAAGGACCCTAAATGGAGCACAGTATTGGTGTGCCAGGCAGGGTAGTAGCCTGCTTGAGATCTGTAGTATGGAACTAGAATAAAAGACTTCTGACTTAAAAAATCTAATTACTCCCTTTGACAAGAATTTAGGTGGCATCCATTCTTCAGGAGTGAAAAAACTGTTAGCCCAAGAGTTTCAGCAGGAGAATGAAGCACTTGCTAAACTTAAGGCCACATCTTTTGACTTCCAGTTTGCTAAAGCAGAGGAATACTACTACCAACGATATCAAGAAATGATGATGGAAGAAGCATGGGACTACAAAATGGTTCCAAAGTGGGAGATTATGAAAACAGAGGAGGAGGATGCCAACGCGTGGGATTATCTAGTGTCTGAAAGAGAGCTAAATCACATAGAGAAACACATATACCGAGCCGAACGAGCAAGGGGCCTCAGAGACCAAAAGTATCAACTGCTCCCTCAGAAACTTCCAAGTGAAATGCTTTTCCCAAAAATATTAACACTGGAGGATGAAAAGAATGAAGATATCCAGAAAACACACAAAACGAAAACCGGAAAGCACAAGGTAGCATGGGCAAAGAATCAGATGAAGGGACATAAAGATCAAATGATTAGAGGAAGAGAACTCTCAGAGCAAAGAAATGATCAAAGAGAACCTTGGAAGCTCTCCAGTCAAACTTCTCCTCTCCTAAAACCTCAAGTGGAGAAGGAGGAGAGAGTGTTTGAAAGGGTCACAGCTTATCCTATCTTCCAGCCTTACCAGAAATCATGCATAGAAGTGAGCATCCTGAGGGAAAAATCGAAAGAAGATAAAATTCAAAAACCACTCCGAAGGGAGTTCTTGAGTTTGCCACCTTTTCTGAGAAGTCAACTAAAAAGGAATAAAGTTTAAATTATTTTTTGATTACTGCATTTTTATATATTTTATAGCAATTATTGAAGTAAAATTGTAGAAAGTAGACAAATGAAAAAGCAACTCACCATGCATACTTGAAAATTATGGTTCTACGTGTATGATTCCATTTATGTGAAATGTCCAGAAAAGGCAAATTTGTAGGCAGAAAGTAGGGTAGTGGTTGGTTAGAGCTAAGGGATAAGAAAGTTAGATGAGTTAGGGAAAGTGATGGCTGATTGGGTACAGGGTTTCAGAGGACTGTGGGGAGCCATTCTCACACATGACTGGGCAACTCCCGGTTTGGGTCTGAGGCACTCTGGCTAAACTGTGTCAGAGCTTTCCCGGCCCTCTCCTGGTGCCAGAGCCTGTCCGTGTGGGGGTGTGACTGACCACTGACCCCTGGGGCCAATCACTGACCCTGACCTTGGAGTGCGGCCCCCCTCAACCTTCATTGGATGGAATTCTGCCCTGAATTTCTTGTTCCCCAATAAAAGGCTACTCCCTGGCGTGCTCCCTCTCTCTCTCCTGCTAGCCCTGAGTAATCCTTGCTGCCCTACCAGGTGGTTCGAGATGGGAACCAGAGGGGGAGCCGTCTCGGACCTGGTCATAGAAAAAGGTAACTGAGTCTGTGTGTTTATTTCGATCTCACTAGTTAACTTTTATGCCAAGAACCTCATTAATGAAACCAGTGCGCTGGTCGCATGGTGGAAGAGGACAAAAGAAGGTTCCAAAATAGATTATGGCAATGGTTGCACAACCCATAATTTTAAAACACTGAATTGTTCTCTTTAAGTGGATGAATTGTATCTCAATAAAGATGCTTAACAAGAAAAGAAAGAAATGCTGGAGTTTAAAGAACAGGAAGTGAGCCTGGAAATGTAGACAAAGGGTCAGATCCTGCAAGGCTTTGAACATAACTTTTTTTAAATCTTAAAGGCAGTGAACAATCACTAAGAAACTGATGAGTAGTCTGGAAGAAATCTTGGTTTTTATAGATAGGAAGCAATAGATGCCATATGTGTCTGTAGCACAACCTGGGCAAAGTGGAGAGTCCAGGTGGGAATTAGTTACTGATTAAGGTGTGGTAAGACAGGGATTACAAGGAAAAAGAAATCCTAGGCTTCTGCCTGAGGAAATAATGTAGTCAAAGTGCCAGGACGTGGAATAAGAAGATGACTTGGAGCAGGTGGGGTTTTTACTTATATGTTTAGATCAGCCCATGTGCCGTAAGTATATCTGGCTTTGTCAAGAAGTTTATGAATCAAAAAAGTTTTGAGACTGGGGCTGGGGATGTGGCTCAAGCAGTAGCGCGCTCGCCTGGCATGCGTGCGGCCCGGGTTCGATCCTCAGCACCACATACAAACAAAAGATGTTGTGTCTGCAGAAAACTAAAAAATAAATATTAAAAAAATCCTCAAAAAAAAAAAAAAGTTTTGAGACTGTTCAGGATATAAACATAAGTTCCACCTTTTGGGGAATCAGGGGTTACTAGGGATTGAAACTCACAGGCACTTTACCACAGGATCTCACTAAGTTGCTGAGGCTGGTATTGAACTTGCAATCCTCCTGCCTTGGCCTCCTGAATCACTGGGATTACAGGCTCTGAGCACTCAGCTTTAAATGTATAGAAATCAAGACAGCAAAATGGTAGAAGGGAAACTGGGGAAGGAACAATCATCAAGGATGTAGTTTCACATGTCAAATGCACAGTATTTATCCACTGGGATTAATTTGGAAAGAAATCAGTAAAAGTGACACAACAGAAGATTGGTGGAAAAGGAGGTACCAGTCTGTCATGGTTTGAGAATGGACAGAAAAGGAGACCTCAAGTGATTCTTTAAGAGGTAGGATGGTAGCTTAGAGGGCCACAGTAACTTTTTGGTTAAGATGAGAGTATTTGAAGGAAAACAAGATACAGGAAGAGGGGATAACTGATGGAACAGTGTCCCCTGGGAGGCAGGAAGAGCTAGAACCAGAGCCTTACAAAGAGACACTTCTACCCCTAACACTGGAGGGAAAGACCAAGAAAGGATGAAAGTAGAAAGTTGGGAAATGGGAGAAAGAATCCTAGAAAATACCACAGGCACACTTGAAAGCCTAGCAGAGTCCAGATGCATGGAGCAGGACTGATCTAACATTGCTGTTGCTGGGAACAGTGGTCCAGCCTGGCTTTCCAGAGGACTTAATGGTCCCTGGTGTGTAAACCCTGGGCTCAGTCATATGAAATTGCTGGCATTTGACCATTTTTAACCTGAAATAACAACCTCTCCATATGGAGCAACCTGTTTATTTGACTTGACCAGTTAACTAATGATCCACAGGCATTAACAACCTAGAATTTCCAATGGGAGGAAACTGGAAAAGGAGAAACTCTCCCATGAAGAGAAAATAAGAATAAAACAAAGATCACAACAGTTTGTGAATATGGCAGTGAATTTCCTTTATTCAAAGACAATCATGACAAATTAATTAACTATCAAAAGCTACATTTTACTAAAAACAATCTGTCTTTAAAAATGTTTAATCATACAATATATACAATACATGCTGCTTTCCATTTCAGATTTCACTATCCATTTGAGTCCTAAAAGGGAGGAAAAACAGCTGGTAAACAGTTTATAAATGATAAACCGAAAGTTTATGAACTATACATAAGTGAAATATAACAACTAGCCCCTCCTAGTAAATAGGTCCCAGGTTAATATCTGTTCACCTCTTTCCTTCAAAAATACTTTGACAGCAAATATTAGAATGAAAGAAGCTCAATTAATTGAAGTACATATTAAGAGGTTACATTAAGTACTAAACAATCTCATTTTAATTCTCAAAAGCATAGAAAATTGAAGCTAGGGGAAAAAAACACTAATTATCTAATTCAAAAACTCCTCAATTTTCTAGAGACGTACAGATGAGGAAAATACAGTTGAGATGAAGTGACTTGCCTACAGGTTTAAAGTAGGGCAGAGCCAGCAGATTCTAGTTCTGCTTCCTACCCACAGCTGTTTACAGTATAGAATCCCAGATCACTTCTAAGATTTCTATCTAGAAATCTTCCCCCTCATAAAATGAAGGATTACTTCATAGCATAATTCAGGTTTCAGAAATGCCCATTTACTAACAACATTCTACAGTAACTCTGTCCTAATCCTCCTTTTCTTCCTTGTACCCAATGGGACAGTGAACAACACTGGGGGGGGGGGGGTGTTAAGAATTTTCTAACATCAGTTTGTTAGGGGAAAAAAAGCCAAAGCAAGAACAAACTCTCCTGTGCTGCTGCTTGTAGCTGCAAACCAATACCAAGGTAAGCAGCCCAGAGAAGGGGACTTCCACCCCACATGCTGCCTCTACCTTTCTCACCAGTTACTCAGTTCCAGGATGAGGCACTAGAGGGAGGCAAAACCCAAATTTGACTGGCATGGGGAGAAAGTATGGCTTGGATTGCCAAATAAACTGTGGTAAAACCACGCAGCTGTCCTGCGGAACATGTTACCTTCAGCTGGCATCAAGCACTCAGCCTCTGCCGGCTCTGACCCGAAGCAATCACAGGCTCGGCAATCTCGAAGGTCTTCACAATCTCCTGGCAGGGAAGAAAGAACGTTTGGGCAGTGGGTTCACAGGAAGTGAGTTAGAGTCAGAAACAGGCACAACATGCAGAGCTTTACCTCCCAGTCTCGATAACTCAAAGCTATAATTCCTTGATTCCTAATTTGGGTGTTTTGGTCAATTCCCTCACTTTCTTCATTAATATTAACAGGTTCTGTTTGAAAGACAAAAGTTTTCAAAGGTTATCAAATCAGAATAGGTAATCTGAATAGCAACTGATGAATAATAGAAATGAAACCTTTAGTAAAAAATACTTAGTCCATATTATTAGGATTCCATACCTTATTAAATTGCTATAGTAGTGTTAACAGTAGCAAGTAATCCCATTTGCCTCCATTTTAAAAATTTATTTCAAACATTAGAAAACTTACACATATTTATGTACCAACCAAATACTAAGCCCTTGTGAATCCAAAATGAAATTAAGAAAGTTTAAAGTTACAAGTTCAATGAAAGGACTTGACTCTCTAATAGAGAACATAGAAGGACATGAGTAATAGAAAATGTGAAGTAAGAATGAAAGTTTAGGGGAGGAGGAGAAGCTGGCCCTCGCAGAAAAGTGGTAAGAAGAAGGAAACTACAAAAATGACAATTACAAACTTCCTAAATTAAATTTAAGGGAAACTTTATCCATTTTGTTAATCTTTAGCAGATGTTCAATCAATGACAGGTGAATCTATCAAAGTTTTACATCCGTGGCCATGTTTTCCAGTTATAGCTGGACAGTGTACAACATGGCCAAAATTTGTTATGTACAATGAAAACTCATTTACACTTTATAAAATACATTTCATCAACTCTAATAGCAAATATATTTTCTCTAAAACTAACTTTTTCAAACATAAAATCTTTACCTATTATTGGCAGTCGGTCCTGGTCAAGTCTTATTCTTGCAAAACCATCCTAAAACAAAAATATGATTTTAGGAGAAGACCAAAATTTATACTAAAACCTGTAACAATTGGATGAAAACAAATTATTCAATTAGAAAAAATCTATGTCTTAGATAATCAAAATACATACCAACAATAATGAGATGATATGGACAGACTTCTCAAACATCTTTCTTTACAATAGGGTATCACTCAGGTTTCTTAGCAGCTCTTTTACCAGACATAGTCTCCATCCTGAGAATCTCTTAAGGAAAACTCTGTCTTATCTCCTTAACCAACATATTTTATTATAGATATTTCAATTTTTGTTATGCACCATTCTGTCATTGAGACTACTAGCAAAATATGCCTTTGTTATTTCTGAAAAAATAAATACAAGCTTTTGTCTAAGGTTAAAATCAAATTCATCTTACATGTGTAGCAGTGTAACCTAAAGCTATAAGTCAGTCTGAAGCAAACAGTACATTCAGGAGTTTTTTAAGACCTATTTGAATAATTTCAGGGTTAAAACTG